CTACTTGCCTCCTTGGAATGTATTACTTTACAATATATTATTAAATTAGTATTAACATTATTGTGGAACAAGCATTTTAATGGGAGTAAAGGTGGAGATAATAATTACTACTTTATATGCTGTTGGGTATAGTTGTATCTATAACAGCCTATTATGTTTGAAAAATTGAACAGAGGTTTGAATGAAAAATCCTATCTGCAAAGGAGCTGGTAACAATGACTGTTAGATAAGTGCAGTTGAGTTAAAAGAAGGCCACCATATCTCCCTCTGGAATGTAGTGGTGTAGAAGTAGAAAATAGCATAAAGAAAACTACTTAAAGTAAATATACCACAATCTCAAAATTGCCCATTTAATTGAGTACATTTCCACCAGTGACTCATTGAGTTTTATTTCTGCTATTGACTTTTAAAGATGCAACGTGTCAGAAAACAACTAACAGGGAAGAACTAACTTTAGTCATTTGGCTTTTTTAGATATTTTACATGGAGCCATGCAATAGATCTCTTAAAAGGAATTGCGACTTGTTTTGATTAATACCTTTCAGATATCTTCAAATGAAATGTATAATAGATAATTATGATGTCTTTAAATGTGCTGAATTAAAGGTAACTTTGAATCAGTGTGGGCCCTGGGAAGAATTATTGACCTCTTTGTGAAAGCTATTGAGGATCAGATTATATAATTTTATTTATGGTTAGTCAGAATTTAATTGAGATATCTGGAATTAAGGTGTCTGAGTCAGAATGTAATTACAGATATTTTAACTTTTACTACTCTTACTTTAGGTTTTGACTAATCATTGAATGCACTGTAAATATCTTTTATTTAAAATAATTTTATATATTTAAATAGATTTACCATAAACACATAATTGTATTGGTTGTGTGTCTGCTTCGATGTTATCCTCACTATAGCACTTGTCTTTGTTTCCTTGATGAGGACCAGGTAGACTGAACGTTCCCTCATGTTCGTACTGAGCCCGAGAACAGGAAGTGCTGGTTCAACAAGCTGAGCTAGCTAGCTAGTGTCAGTCAAGTGGGTTAGCTTGGCATTTAACTCAATAATCAAAATGGGGCTGTTCGGCAAATCACCCGACAAATCACCCAAAGAGCTGGTGAGTAGTTCCTGTTGAAGACCAGGCCTGTCTTTGAGTGCTGTGTCCGTAGTAAGACAACAACGACAGCGCCTTTTGCTAACCTTGCTAACGTTAGCTGTCAGTTTAACGCCCCATACTTCGTCCAATCTGTTGCTACTTCTTGCTAACTGATGTTAGTCTCGTTTTAAAAGAACTAACAGTCCCTGTAATAGTACCCAGTGTTACCCCGCAGTATGTGTACAGTCTTTAACGTTATACACTTGTTTGTATGGCTCAGTAAACGATTAGCCAATCTTATTTTGATTTGTGTAGCAAGAGCTAGCTAGTTAGCATACAGGCTAACACTCGTCTGCTGTCGGTGGCGTGAATGTAAACAAGTCCTAATTGTGTTTTCTTTAGCGTAGCTTTGATCTGTTACAATGTGACGCTAGCTGGTTGAACTTGTACATTGCTTTAGTCTAATATTACACGAAACGCCATGTTGAAGAGGGTAATACAAACGTACTTCAACTGGCAATATGAACGCAGTTTGTAAACAACAATGTATACTTTCAGGTGAATGAGTGGTCTCAAAAAATCAGGAAGGAATCGAGAGTGATTGACAGACAAATTCGAGGTAAGATGCAGTCAACATGTGACACTGAACTGTACTTTTTATAAAAGGATATTTTTATTGTGAAATGTCTGTTTACTTTTACGTTCATGTCGTTTCATGATTAGTCTATAATTTTAACTATCTGAAAATAAATGGAAGAGATAATCACATTATTTGTTTTGAAGCTAAATACGGGCAATTTGCTTTAAAACATCTTAAAACACATCGATTTGAACTGACAACAGCTGACTATCTCAATGTCAAATAGAATAGTATAAACGTATAGATGACTTTAAACATGAGGCAGTCACTCCTTAAGATGGTAAATTTGTGTTGTTGCATAATTTCATTATCCACTTCATGCAATGACCGAATTATATGTTATTAGTTTTTGTGGTGTACATAATGGTGTGCCCTTTCCTTTCAGATATTCAAAGGGAAGAAGAAAAAGTTAAAAGATCCATCAAAGATGCTGCCAAAAGGGGCCAGAGGGATGTGTGTGTGGTTCTCGCAAAGGAGATGATTCAGTCCAAACGAGCTGTCACCAAACTTTACGCTTCCAAAGCCCAAATGAACTCTGTGCAACTCAGCATGAAGAATCAGCTTGGTAAGTTTGGGAGTACATCATCTGAGTGATTGGACAGGGGAATATTTAAAGTTTCATCATGGATCTTAATGTTATCCTCTGCACTGTCAGTGAAGGGTGTATTTTGTATATTTGTAGCTCTAGTGCGTGTAGCCGGGTCCCTGCAGAAGAGCACGGAGGTGATGAAAGCGATGCAGAACCTTGTCAAAATCCCAGAGATCCAGGCCACCATGAGGGAACTATCAAAGGAGATGATGAAGGTCAGCAGCAGTGTCCGACACGAATAGATACAATTTACTTATAATCAAGTGAATGGAACGCTGTGGCTTAATCAGACCACCATCTGCCATTGCTTCTTTAGAAGAAAAAGTAGCTAAGCCATGGCATTGTGTGTACATATTCATCTTTCAGGCTGGCATCATTGAGGAAATGCTGGAAGACACATTTGAGAGCATGGAAGATGGAGAGGAGATGGAGGAAGCAGCAGAGGAGGAAGTTGACAAGATCCTCTTTGAGATCACAGCAGGTGAAGACATTTGTTCAACTAAATCCTCACAATAGATTGTTACATTCCTGTTTTGGTAAAGGTTTTGGTGTCTAGATTTTCTAAGGATTTAGGTCTGAATAATACTGAATGCTCTGTTTATTTCCTTTGTTAGGTGCCCTTGGCAAAGCGCCAAGCAAAGTCACAGACGCCCTGCCTGAATTACAGCCTGCTGTAGCTGCTGCAGCTTCAGAGGATGAGTCAGAAGAGGACATTGAAGCAATGCAGTCAAGATTGGCAGCTCTGAGGAGCTAAGGTGAACTGCCACGGTTCTGTCAAAGTCGGTTTACTCACTCCGATAAGGACAGAGACAATTCTGGTGCTGGGTCTACAGTGCTAAGCATCCTCCAAGCTTCATGTCATAATTAGTATTTCACATAATCATTTGGGGTTAACTTTGTGCGATGACAGTTAATGTCTTCAAAACGTTTTTTTATAGAACAATGTGTTTTTGCTTTTTGTCTTGTTATTATCAGGGGTAACCCTCGGTAAGTCTTTATTATCCAAAGTCAAACAGAAGGTTTTTGAAAGTGTATATAATGTAAGTATGAAAAGCCTGCTGTGCCTATAGTGGTTCATCATATCTTCTGTCCTAAGTTATGGAATGGTGATGGACGTATGTATGATCCAAACAAGCGATTAAATAACCACCCTGCACTTAAATCACACCCTTGATCACTACTCGGCAGTTGTTCTGATCTGTTTCGGATACATTTTGTAAGAAACAGCTGTTCTGTTTACTGGTAACTAGCCTACATTATCTGAGTCACTAGAGATGGTGGGTGGATTTCTCCTTTGATAGTCTGTGCAGTCAATATGTATCTATTCTATATGTGGTCATACACGTTAAGTGAAATCATCAGAAAAATGCACGCATACCACCCGAACCGATTTTCTTTGCATTAACATTTAGCTCGGTAAATGTTTGACTTTGTGTCACAATTGAGTTCCTTCTCAGCCGGACGATGCAGAGGAAGTTGAAGGGTTGGTTAGTGCAGGACCTATGTATTGTGGAAGTATTGTGTGTATCATTTTTCTATGTGAATTGGGGAAAAATAAGGAAATAAACTTTTAAGATCCAAGGTTGCCAATAAGCAAACTGTATTACACATGTTTCTGCTTTTAGCAATTACTTACCGTACGTTTAGCCCTTCAATGTCAAAATATACACGAAATGTTTGTGCTGAATCTAATCAGAGGCTTTTGGGAAATCTGAACCTGCTGGCTCGCAAAAGCCCACTCAACTGGTGAGAAACTGAACTGCAAGGAAAATCTAAATCTCTTGACACAAAAACCTGTCCCGCAACTAAAACTGCTCGATGTTCAGCGATAGTCTAGCAATAACCTAACTGCTGGAAGTATGAAACTATGTCAAATAATTAATCTTTACATTTAACCGGACAATGGCAGTAATATTACATTGATATGTGGAGTATTTTTTAAGAAGGGCAGGAAATGTAAAGCATTTCTGGTACCCTTATTTTTAAGCCATTTCTTGCCTTCAGAAAGGACAAAAGGATTATATTTCAACTAGTCGCAGCACTCCCTCTGCAGCTTTTGTTGTACTTTAACAAAACCTTGCCTCTGTTCTCTGGCTTCAGTATGTAGGCCACAGGCTGACAAAGGTACTGTAGCTCTAATGGAGCAGGTGTTCCCAGGTTTGCTGAGAGATTTCATACCCATTAAGAGCTGTATTACTCTAATAAATTATATTTGGCTATATTATAACATATAGCACTGAAACAATTAGTTGATTCATAGATTAGCCAATTGACAGGACATAAATGGGCTAATGGTGTTGGACTGTTGGTCCCACAAATCAATCAATCTGAAGACGTCACTTGGGTTTAGGGAGTTGTGATAGACATTTTTACTAAAATTATTAATCAAGCAAATAAGCAACAGATGTATCGATAATGATAAATAGCGTAGTTTCCCCCCTTCCCACGTGATGCATTTGAAACTGCTTTTCAGGCCCAACAGAAAATATTTGCCTCCAAGCCAACCAGGTAACGCATACCATCATATCACATCTAAACACACTTGTTAAACCAGACAGCCTCGCCTTTACCCAGCAGACATACTGAGTGTCTGTGCGATGCAACACTGCCATCTATGGATATGAGTTATGGTTTCTCCTGCATCACGTTGCTGCCTGTGCGCGTCCAGACGCAGCCGCCTGGACGCGCCTGTCTGGAGGAAACTCCTCCCCGCACATAGCGTGTCCAGTCCTTTCCAGCGCAATGGTCTCCTGGATCATCTCTAGACTTGTGGTGTAAGTAATTTTTTATTATTTCTTCCCGTAGATTAATAATACATTGTGGTTCCCGTTTTTTTGCAAGTATTTGAGCCGCTCATTGACGGCACTGTGAGCGGCGCGCTATGCAAGCCCCCGCAAATTGTCTATGTAATCAGAATCAGACGTCAGTGTGTGAGGAGAGCAGACGCCTGTTTATTATTAATTGTTTTGCTTGTAAAAACAGTCCAAATTCCACAGGATTGTACTTTGCCATTTCAGCAGCAGGAATGCTGAGCTAGGCCTGTGTAGACCGGAGCTCAGCACCCTCACACTCTTTATGTTTATCAGCTGCCTTTTTAATTACAGACAAAGAGGTGACGTGATTGGCTGAATAATCCATTGTCATGCATGAAATGATAATATGAGTCAGATCCAGAAATCAGAGACGTCTTTCACTGGCAGAAAGCTAAATGTCACTGAGCCGCGAGGTGACTGAACAACAGGAGCGGTCTTTGAGTGGAGCTATATTCTCTGTTGATGTCCCATATTGGAAAAAACAAAAGGGATGGGTCAGCCTTCTCAGGTTACAATGCAAGTTGTTCATGTAATATGACATCTATGCATATTTGGCGATATATTATCTTACAGCTTTGAATTGAAATGCTTAAGGCGACATTTAAGTTGTGGTTATTTTTACCTGCTCAAAGTATGAATCAGCGCAATTGCAGACCGTGTGGAGTATACCCACGGCAGGCCCGACCTCAAAATAGTGAGACAATTCAATTTAGGATGCAAGATCTTGTTTCGGAGAACTGCTTCAGCCCTGGCTGTTCATTTTTGGGTCCAATCTTCAACTAAAGTGTTTAGTTGCGTCTCCCACAGAGGATCTGTTTATTTTGAGTGTCCTTGTGTTTCTTAACGCTGTTAGACACAGTTAGGCCGGAGAGGTGCAACATGATGTGGGTCAGTAATTTGATCAGGTCTCACAGCTGTTGCCTGGCTGTAGCACTTCAGCAGGGTCCTGTCTCTGCGGGTCACCCAGCAGCACAGGTGTCTCTACACACGCGAAAATAAATGTGAAGAAAACACATGGACGCTAATTTTACCTCATGGCTTGAAGTTAAGCACCTGGACAGATTGTTTAGCCAAATCAGCTAAGGAGCAATCTAACTTTGCATCGCTGATTTAATAGCTTCTTTCTGGAAGGACAAAGCTGTTGCACCCTTTTCTGTTTTACCTTGAGCTCACCTGACAACCACCTGTCCATCAATAATCAATCCACGTTATGTCGGCTGTAGCTCCAAACGCTCATTGATAAAAATGTAAATATATGCATTGAAACAGAAAAAGTATTTCCACTTATTTTATATGGATCTATGAAGACAGAGAAATACATTTTATATTTTAGTTCTAATTTTATATATCTAACATAGTAGCCTTTATTGTCCACAACCAAGATTTATTAGATTTAAAATGTCTTGATTTTATATGTTCTTCATGCACATTTGAAATATCGGTTGGACTGCATTGTTAAATGATTTGTTTCTGGAGTTGATGGGCACATTATCTGTCTTTTAGACTTGTGTTTGGGACGCTATATCCGGCGTACTCCTCTTATAAAGCTGTGAAGTCAAAAGATGTGAAAGAATATGTGAGTATTTTAATTGTATTTTTAAGAGATGATGTCAGGCAAGGTGTTATGTAATTAACACCTTGTGTAACTATCTTCAACTGCTTTGGTATATTTTAGGTGAAATGGATGATGTACTGGATAATATTTGCCATTTTCACTGCTGTGGAAGTGTTTACAGACATGTTTCTTTGTTGGTAAGTCACTTCAGATATTTAATTTTATTCAATGTTATACCTCTTGACTCTTTTCACATCACATACTACATTTTGTCACTGACATGTAAACCATGTTTTTATGATACTTTGTTGTACCAGTGGCTCCATCATTTTGTGTCTTTATTGCAGGATTCCTTTCTACTATGAACTGAAGATAGCCTTTGTGGTGTGGCTGCTGTCCCCTTACACTAAAGGCTCCAGTGTGCTATACAGGAAGTTTGTTCATCCTACTCTTTCCTCAAAAGAAAAGGTGAAAAGCCCTTTCCTTTGTTCTACCTTCCTTTCCTTCCTGTTGCAGTTCAAGGAAAGGCTTAGGTGAAAATATTCACTTTAAAATAGTCTGCATGGTTATGTGACTGATAGAATTTGAGCTTTGCAGCTGAGAACAAAAGTGCCTTTGTGCCAATTCAATTTTCCACTTTAGCTGTCGAAGATGTGTTTGCAGGACAGGAGAGAGGAAGTGTCATGTTCCTCCCTTTCTCCTTTCCTTTTCCCTCTGCATCTGATTCAGGAAACACATTAGCGTGTTGGTGAAGATTAGCAATGCAATCAAGCAATATAAGAAACCCTTATCAAATCAACGCATAAAATATTATGCATACAGTATTATGATGATAAAGAGAGACACAATGGTCACATGATTTATTTGTGTTGTCCTTGTTTCAGGACATTGATGAGTATCTCTGCCAAGCAAAGGACAAAAGCTATGACACAATTGTGCATTTTGGGAGAAAGGGGCTGAATGTTGCTGCCACAGCTGCAGTCATGGCTGCAACAAAGGTAATGCCGACTTTGGATATTTGTTTTGTATTGACCTGGGGGTACAGTAGAAGGTCACGGTATATAAGAGTATCAAGCCTGTCATGTTGTTTGCTATTCACAGAATAAAGTAGGCTTATTGAGTGTTAAAATATCCTATGATGTTGGTATCAAATTATTTATACCCCTAAAGATGATCTATGCTGTAATTGTCACACATGTCTGCTCACACTATCATCTGGTGTAACCTGTTCTAGAGCCAAGGGGTCCTGTCAGACAGACTGAGGAGTTTCAGCATGCAGGATCTGTCTTCCTATCAGTCTGACCCCGTTAACACCGGCCCCGGCACTACGCAGCCTGCAGCAGCACAGCATAGGACCAAGACTATGATGCGCAGCAAGTCGGAGAGCTACAACAAGGGTGAGCAGACATTACCCCGGCAATTACAGAAAAGCCCAGCGTTATGGAGGCATGTTACAACTCTGTTGTAGAGTTGAGAATATTAGCCGCAATAGCAGTGCCTGGTTTGTTTGTGTAAAAAAAGATTATCTTGTAGATTTCTGTCTTCCTGCCTTCAAGCTCGTTCAAGCTGGCAGATATTGTTCAGAACCTCTGCTTTCCTGAGTGGCCCCCGAGTTTAGTCCTGCCTTCCTGTTTGGAGCAGGTCAGGCCTCACAGGGCTGCCAGGCACCCTGTGATAAAACTCGCATGTAGCTGGGGGGATTTGTTCCTAGTTTAACATCATGTGGACACAGTTGTTGTTTGTTTTAATCTAGATGGGGTGTCTTGTTTTTCATCTGATAATTATTGCTTTGTTCAAAAAAGCACAACATTTAGACACAACTGCTTACAGTGGACTGAAGTTAAGGTTTGATGAAAAAAATTGAATTGAGATTATCTCTGTTAATATCTGAGGATATTATTAACAACTGTTGTCTATTTATGCCTACACTCAATTATGGATGGTTGACGCAAGAATAGATGGTCTGGAGGGATGCTTTCCCCGTTCTGCACATGCATTTCCTATGCGCTTCCTATCCCCTGACCTACAGGCTGGCCTAACCCGTGTGTCACCCCTGTGGACAATCCATTTTTAGCATAATCCATTATGTATTCCCTCTAATTTAAAGGATAGGTTTTGTGCTATTCTAGATTTTCTTTTACTGTCAACAGATCCCATTAACTAGCCATGTTTCTGTTTGCCTCTCACACCCATTGGTTCCCACTGAACATATACTGTAAATCAAAAGCAGGTCATAAAATTCATTTCATTTTTTAAATGCTCAGTAATTTCCTAAAACAGCTGACCACTGTAGTTTTTAGGAGACATTGCTTGAACAGGAATGAACAGGTAATTTATTGGGGACTATTTTCAGCAGCAGATTAACATATATTTTGGTGCTTTAGTGGGTATTTATGGCAGCAGGATTGTGGAATTGACTCAAAATAAACACAAAATAAACTACAGTGCCCATTTAGTTTTTAATTCGTTTTTGGACAACTATCTTACAGAAGATAAGCTAGAAGGATCATTTCATACTTGCTTTTGGTCTTTTCAAGGGATTTGTTGACGATATGAAAAATATATATCACAAAAACTGTCCCTTAAAATGTTTGTGCATTTTTAAACTTCTTTTGAACAATATTGTCAAATATATATATTTGGGCCTTCTGCTGTCATTGCATTGTCCATTCCATTGACAGTTGACATAATTCAGCATATACTAAAAAGAGAACAAGGCCCCGGCTTATCATAACTTCCTATTTGGCCTCTGCTCTGTGGTTTGCAGAATGATAATACATTATGATATGAACTTTCATAATCCCCGCTGACAAAAATAATCACATGCCACTCTATAGCAATTACACAAAGTATTTAGCTTTTAATTGAATAGACAGGAGACATGTTATTCATCCCTTCCATCAACATTCTTTCACGGTACAGGACAGGATGTTGACATGACTGAGTATGAGATGTTGGGTTTGGACCAATGGAACTCCAAGGAGATTCTGTCCGAGACCATTTCACCTTCTGAGTCTGAATCCAGCACTATTACGCCCTCACTGACACCCGAGTCCTCCACACCCTCTCCTCCAGCTCCGGAGCAGCTTGAGGAGGTGGAGAAAGGGGTGCAGGCAGCATCAAGCTCTCCACAGCTCAGGCTGTCTAAGAAGAAGGCTCCTGAGGTATACTGCCTCGTCAACGCGGCTGCTCAGCTGCTGCCTGATTCTAACTGCCCCTTGAGCGTGGTGATTCACTCACCACTCACCACAGAAATTCACTAATTTCTGCTGCTGTGTAGCTAAATAATTCATCATGGTTCAGTACTTCTGCAATTGTGGAAAGTCTTGCTGCCAATAGGAGTTCTGCACTGATGAAGCTGAACCATGTGCTGAGATCTTAGTGGAATAATTGTCTAGTTCAAATGAATGTGTGATCTTTCTCTTGCATGATTTCAGTTGCTCACTTGTTTGGAAATGGTTGACCTATTGACATGGATTGCATTCCAGTATTCTGCATAATCAGTCCCTGGAATTACTGGGTATTCATTAATACATCTCAACACCTAATATCACTTTCTTTGACACGGTGATGCTGAATAAAGCGGCACTGTTTTAAGGATAACACCAGCGATATTTATATTTTTTGACTGTCAACAAATCCCATGAAAAAAACAACAAATTGATCCTACAAATAAGTATTGTCTGTGTAGCTGAAGACTGGTATAGCTTATTCCACTGTGCTATAGACTCAAACTTCATGTATGTATGTGACGGTTTCTTTTTTTCTTTATGAAACTAAATGCTTTTAAATATGTATGTCTTGAGTAGGAATACTGTGCTTTGTAGTGAGACAGTTCATTCACAGACAGGGTGTGGAGGTCAGAAAGTCTCGAGAGACAAACTAACACATTGTTAGTTTTGGTCTTATCTTGGGATTTGTCGACAATAAGAAACTTACAAAATAATGCCAGCATCCTTTTAAATATTGTGCAACTCATTGTGGCTCTCTCGCTAATATTTGCATTTCTGCTCCCTTCCAGCCTCCTCTTAGAGTCTTAAGGCCTCTCACAAGATCCAGGAGTGCTCTTTCTTCAAACAATGAAGCCATGTGAAAGTGTCCGAAAGACTCCTCCAGCTGCCTTTGCTGCAAGAAGTAAAAATACTGAATGGCCAAAAGCTACATGACTAAAGCAGCCTTGCTTTGGAGTAAGGTATTACCAAAGTGACCTATGATGACCCCTCTATATATAGTATATGGCTCATGATTTAAAAACACTGACATTTGTGACATTGAGATAGTACAAATGAATGAATGGGCTCCAGGCTGATAGACATTTTGAGTTTGTGGGTTATTGTATCTGTATTTATGTACAGTTTGTGTGTACTTCATCTTTCTGATTTGATTGTTTTTCTATATCAGGTTTGGGTAGGCAATTGCATGTCTGTCTTCCCAGTTATTAGTACACTGTTTATTTAACAGAATGTACTGTCACTGAGTAATTAAGCAGGCATTGAGAGTGACATGGTCATTCTTCAAGTGTGTTAAAAGCCAAGGATCAAAAGAAAAGGCTGTTTTTACCCCATTCAATATGAAGAAACATCTGTCAATTCTGGACTGATTAATTATCACGTTAAGGTATCGAGGAATCACCCAAAAACCCATTCCGAGATGAGACGACATACCTTTGTAATTATGAAATGGCAGACAATATTCTGTTACTTACCTCTCTATTAAAGCCTTAAAGAAAGACATCAACATACAAAATGTCTCCACACACGATATAAGTATTTCTATCACAACTATGTTCACATTAAACAATCATTTTGCACTATGTTTAGAATATAAAGTTGCTGCCCTTAATACTCTGAAATGGTCAAAAAAGAATTACTCTGTAACAAGTAAAAGCATTTGTGTCGCAGATAAATTAAGTCTCTACTGCAAGAGGTTTCCTTGGTAAATCAGACTGTTTGACAATCTACTGTTCAGTTTGTCAGCACATTTTGTCATTTAATTGTCAATTTAAGGCCAATTAGGAAAAAGTCACGAGTATTTATTTACTGTATCTTCACATGGGTCTTTTTCCATGTTTGAAATCACTGTGTAGTGTTCTGCTGTTAACTGAGCAACACTAAACCCAACGATCTTCCTTTCTACTTGCTTATTTTTTTTAGGAGTGACTTTATTTCTTTGCAGGTTTACAAACTTGCATTTCAGTTAATATCGCATGGTGATAGACTTTGTTTTCATTATGTACTTAATTCACTGAGCCTGAATCATAGCAACATTTTACACAAAGTATCACCGTGTTGGACGTCTGCTGCAGATTTATCCTTTTCATCATGGTATCTGTATCATTTAGGGTGGTTTGAAGTTTGAAACAAAAGCTTCTCAGGTACAACAGCTCTGTTTACACGTCATTCACTCTGATGTTGTAGATACACTTGTTACGCACATAAAAGGTCCTTTTAATGGATAAATGGTGAAAAAACTTTAAAAGGAAAAATCAGATTGTGTTTCAACGTGAGTAGTATAAGTGTTAGTGCTGAAGGGGATTTCCTTCTGTCAAAATTCATGCAAAGCAAAACAGAGAAAAAAATATGTTGCTAAGTAGCAGATTTGTATACTTGTGTGTAGACTGAAACTCATCATTGCATGTTTGTTATTCATTTGTATGAGAATTTGATTTCTTAAATGATTTTGTTAAGATGCCTTGCTGGTAAACAATTATTTTTTGTCATTTTTGTTTGCTTTGTAGAAAGAATATGAAATGCAACGACTGTACACACACGTTGGCTATACATATATATATATGAATAACGTCTTATTTACTGATAAATTAACCACTTGGACTTTATTCATGAGACACCACTTAAGTGACCCTAAGAATCTTTGTTCTGGCAGGCCAGAATATCAAATTACTTAAATTTCAACTTGATTGTGAAATGTAAAACAAAAAGCAGTAAAGTGGTGACACGATGGTTCAATTCTGTCAATTCATTGTTCTAACTAGGTTAAAGATTTCTGTTTAAATCAAGCCATTAAATATGAAGCAAAACTTTGACTGTGTGTTAATCTTTATTTTTAAATGCTGTTTTAAGACAAGAAAGGACACTTTAAGATATATGATTTTATTATATTTAAACAGAAAACAAGATGTCACGACATGAATAAGCAAACTACAGTTTGAGGTTGACCCTATCGTGGTACTTCAGGTATGGATCATCAACAAACCAGTTCCTCCTTTTCCAAAAGGCGGTTGTCATTTTATCCAGAAGCTGGCTCTGTGTTTTGTTACAGAACACATGCTCCCTCAGGCGCTTTTTTCTGGCAGGACTCTTCTTCCACAGTTTCTTCTTGTATCCAGCCTGTTTACACACGGAAACAATAAGTCAGGTTGGAAACAGTGCTTTTAACCCCCAAAACTACTGTAAGAAAATACCATTATAGCAAAATGCTAATGTATTTCTTCTCAAAATATTATTTAAGAGAATCTGTGTCTGCTGCATCTGTCTGCTCCAAAGTGACCAACAGAATGCCCTTTTTCCCCTTCATAGTGTGTGATACTTTAAGTTTATTTTATTTAAAGACTGTAATTGGGTGATTTTGAGTGGGATCCTACATTGGTGTTTTTAAGGCACCAATTAAAACGGAAAACAATGATATGAAGTTATTAGGAACAAAGGTTGTAGAAAAGCCCCAGTTGGTAGGATGGGGGTTAGGAAGGAAAATAAATCAGTGATTTTGGCAGTTCACAGTTAAAGACACCGTACTTTGCGTCTGATCCAAAGATCACAATGCAGCCTCATGAACCTGTCCGTCACAGATTTAACAGTCTTCCTCTTCCCCTTCTTCAGACTGAAATATGTCAGACTTCTGCTTGGTTGATGAGTCAGACTGGGAATAAGTGGCAATACCCTGCAACAACACAAAGAAGCAGAGAGGGATAGATCATAAGAAGGGTTTATTGAAGAAGGTTCAATTCACTCAAATTACGGAACAATATATCATAACTGAACACAAATAAGTTGGCTTCATTTGGTCAGGTTTTGATATTTCGCTCTCTGAGATTACTCACTTCACTCTAGTAGAGTTTAAAAGGGAGACGTATGTGTTGATGTATTCAGTGTGCTATGAAGCAGTTACAGTAGCTATTACTATGAGCATGAGGACTCCTTCTGGCCCTTTACCGTTGTAGGATGTTGTACCGGGGTGTCAGACACGCTGCAGCCCGCAGAGGAGCGCGGACAGCGGCTGCGGCAGAGCTGTAGACAGGCGGAAGCCGGATGCGGCTGGAGAGCTTACAGAGTTGTGGTGCCTTGGAGCACAGAGAGACCGACAGCGGCCCCAGCAGCCCTGTGAAGCACAAGGACAACATGAAAACACACGAGAGGAGTCACAGAATACCTAGCACTGGTGCTAGTTGTAGCAACTTCACGGACAACCTGTGCTTACAAACTACACGATTTCAAAGGTTGGTGCAATAACAGACGGACATATTACTAAACATTTATGGTATGAGGAGAGTGCAATGAAAATGTATGATAGTCAAAATGTATATACACACCGGACACCCTTCTGGCCAAGGCGGCCGCCATGTTTTCCCTGAATACTGGTTTAAGTACGGAGCCCTGTTTGGACAAACTTCAACGTTGTCGTTTCCAACATTAACGATACATTACCGCCACCTAGCATTTGTTACTGGTAAGACATGAATCAGTGCGTCGGTTAATCTAAAAAAGCAATCCAAAAACAGCAAAGTACAGTTTTGTGGTAGTTGTTTTTTGCTACTGTATAATTTAATTTGCCTAATGTGAGAGGGAATTATCGTACTTTTGACCCCGGTACATTTATTTGCCACTTAGATTATGTTATTTAAACACAAGCTTGTAACATATGATGCGTTGTTATAGGCCTATAATAAACTGCCCAACATGTTGTACAGCTGTATCTGTCTTTCTATACTTTACTTTCATGGTTGTCACACTCTGTAAACATGTGTATCTGATCCAGAGATGTGCCATTTGTCACAGTCTCCTGTTGGATGTTTACATTATGTGGAAAGAATTGTTTAGTGCTGTGTGACCAAACCACAGTCTTATTAGAGGGACTTCTCTCAGCCTTTTCTGTCTGGTAAACCTTGCAGTATCCACTGTATAGATAGATTGTTTCACTTGTCATAGCAAGACATGACTTATTCCCTTTGAGGGTACAGCTCAATTGGCCTGGATCTGGAAATTAAATGCAGATGTTAATGTTATTAATTAATCCTGTCCTTCTATGACATGTAAAAATGTTTTCTATAAGAAAAGCCTATAATGTGCAGTAAACCTCTCAATTGTGCTTCAGCATCCTTCACCTTTACTTTGGATTTTTCTGAATGTATCAAAACATCACAGATTATACAAAACGAAAGGGCAAAAACACCTCAAAATATTGCCCAAAAAATCATAAACAAATTACAGATTTCCATGAGTTTGTTACACTCGATCGCTTTGCTAAGAATACTTGTAATGGGCTGATTATACCAAAGAAGAAGCAAAATCGGTGAGGTTCAAATATGTACCTGTACTAAAAACATTGGCAGCGATTTTTTTGATGATGACCAAAGAGGTTGGATGGGGTGAATTAGTTAAATTCTGTTCTATTAAATGTTGCTCTACAAATTGGAACAGTAACAGTTTAATGTTATTATTTTTTTGTCACATATATATATTTCTTTATTTTCTTTATTTTTAAAGTTTGCAATATGGTTCAAATTAATACAAAACAGTGTGGAATTAGGCTCAAGTCAATCATTTGCATTTATTTTCTTTTGAAACATACAAATAAAACCTTAAAAAAGCAGATGAAAAACATTGAGCAAAGGTATCAATGAATCAACATGATGTTCCTAATGCATTAAAAAGCACAAGGGACCAACCACAGTTTATGTACACCTCTCTGTAACTGTGGAACTACCAGTTAATGGAGGCATCCACAAGTCTACCATCACTTAAGTGCAAAGTAAATCAGTTATCGCTGTAAAACAAAAAAGTGCTATTCATAAGAGAGAGAGGTTCCCACCAAGTCACGGCATGCATCTCGTTTTCACCGTTCCAGCATACCTCTCACAATCCAATAATCTAGTTTACAAATGGAGCGTGTTTGTCGCTGAATGGGACAACTGTAACAGTGTCAAACTACAAGAATTCACAAAAAACTTCTGTTTCTCAATAATATATTCAAATGTACTACGTAAAAAAGAGGATGGATTGTCAAAGTACTTTCAAGGCACCAGTCCAAGGTTTTACAATCAGTCCTTTTGTCTTTGGTTGGGACCCATATGAAAATAAGACTTCAGTTGGTTTTGTCCCACCAAGCGCTTGAGAAAGCTAAGATGCGGTCCTTTGGTTCACCAGCCAGCATATACAGGTTGTGCATCACAGGGGATCCCATAGTATCGACCCTGGGGTCGCTCTTTGCGTAGTAATGGAGCTCGGGCTACAGACAGCTCTCCATCAGGGTCTTTCCGTCGACGTACAACCATTAAAATGATGAAGAGCAGGGCCACTGAGGAAAGAGAGAGAAAAAACACCAGAGGATGTTACAGGGAATCTACAGTTGGGCTTATTATAAATACACAAAGAGAGTATTGATATGTCGGCATGACTTTCATTATGTCATTTGTACATGAAGTGATCTCAGTGCGCAAAAAGGAAAGTGTTACTGTTTCTGTGACAGTTATTCAACTTGAAGTTCCACTGTATATTTAATTTGTTTCATCTTTGCTCATTTCCTTTAACAAGTGAAAAATAAGCTCTGACCCTATCGAAAGTAGGCGTGCATAAGGGAGCTATGAACCATTAGTGTGACAAACACCAGCTGCTAAAACATACTGTAAAGAAATTGTTTTGTGTTGTAATAGGATTATATAAATATTGGAGTTTGCCGCTTAAAGCTTGTCAACTATAAATGCAATCAGTTTGAAAAGCATAACTGTAATCCAATGCCTGTAACATGGTGTTAAGTAGAGATGCATTTTGAAAGAAGCTCAGAAATATCAGGAAAACATACTGGATAGTTAGGTGTTACTCACCCCCTCCTCCAATAACTAAAAGAGCAATAGTGACAGGGGCCAGTTCACAAGTGTCCCCTTCTTTGCGGAAGAAAGTCTCCATGCAGTAGCCTGGAGACAAGCTGCCCTCAGGACAAAACGCATCGCTGGGACACTGAATGGGGTTCACGTCTGGACTCTGAGAGAACAACATGCTCTGTCACCAAATATACGCGGAAACTTTGTCCAACACACACAGGTTGATTTTCTCTTGTTAGGCAGAGTGTGGAGGGTGCAGTACTCACAGGGCAGTAGTGGTTATCTGGGCATACATCACAGCTCTCCTGGCCCCAGTGGATCTGGAAGAAGCCACTCCCGCAGATTTGACACATAGTCTGATGGGGAGCCTTGTGCATGCCTGTTCAAAACCAGATATCATCTCGTTGGATGTTCATGCTTCCCCTTTTCATGAGCCACAGTACCTATAAATGAACATGACTTAACAAGGCCCTGTGGGTTTACGTTACCTGGTCGACATGGTGTGCAGTCTCTAGCTGCAGTCTGTAGAGCTTCTGTTCCTCCAGGACACATCTGGCACTGGCTACAACCAACGGAGCTGTCAGAGAGAGAGAGAGCGAGAGAGAGAGAGCGAGAGAGAGAGAGCGAGAGAGAGAGAGCGAGAGAGAGACGCTTATTTGTGGCTTTAAATGGACAAACTAGCCTCCTGTGGTTTTCACGGGCTGCCACAAGTAACAGAGGCATTTTTGAGAAATGTCAAAACGGATTTAGTTTCGAGCTGTTGTTGCAGTTTGGTTTCACACTGCTAACAAACATATAAGCAATGGTTTGATGTAGGTCTGCTATTCAAAGTTTAAGGCGAGACACTATGAGCATTGTCTCAATGTAAACAATCAACTGGAGAAGTTACATGGTAATATCTGATGGTTTTTTTTACCCTATTCACCTGTAGTGTCTCCCCTTAAGCAAAGGCTTGGATAATATTACACACATCTTGTAAAAGCAATGTCAATATTTCATTGCCGAATTAGGGTGAAATCATTAGAAAACTGTTTTCAATCTTTCCGATGTATGTAAAATTACAGTGGTTTGGACGCTTAATGAAGCTTAAGATTAAATATAACACGGTAAAGAGCTGAGCCTTAAGGTAGTGTTCTTGGTCTACCAATGTGTAGAGATATTTGGAAGGAGATCTGTGTAACTGCTGTTTTTACACTCCTCCCCCTTTGCTTTGATCAAGACGCCTCAAAGATTTCAAGACATCGCAGAGTTTAGCCCGTATCTGTGGATTGATAATGGTCATCATGCTACTGAACACCATCTTACATGTCCAGTTGAGTCCAGTTCTATAAGCTCCATTCATATGTGCATGCCTTATGCTTTTCATACCTGATTTTCATATCTGATGATTAATCAAAGCAGCGACTGTCTAACTGATCTTGTGTGTGTGTATGTGTGTGTGTGTGTGTGTGTGTGTGTGTGTGTGTGTGTGTGTTTAGTCTTTGTTGCCAAACAGAACCATGGGAGGAAATCATGTGATGTTGTTAGATAAGTGAGTGTTCCACACTGATTCAGTCCTAGTTACTAACAACAAAAGACACAGAAATAGGAGCAGAAACCTGGTGACAACTCCAACTTACTTGCAAAAACTTCCCAGTGCACATGGTGCACATGAAGTCGAGCTCTGCTGCGATGAAAAGAAACCTGAAAGCGGCAGACAGAAAATAACTCAATACATGTGATTCGTGTTTTCTCTCAAGTTTTAGATTTTATGAAACTATGTTCAGATCATTGCATTTAAATTAGAAATCATATATCTTTATATCTAGATAATCTATCCATTCACAAGATTGTAAAGCTGATCTGGTAAAGAGATTTTACATATATATATATATCATTTCTGCGAGCATACTGCTGTTTTTATCTGAATGCATCACTAGTTACTGATTTACAACAGAACTGAGTTTTCGTCTAAAGCTAAATAAACACACCTGGTGAACAAGTTGAGCAACTGTCTCTGCCGGTGTTATTGTTGAAGGATCCAGGAAGGCAGGGGTGACATACTGGACTTCCAGTAAAACTGTGCAGGAGTGTAAAGTAGTGTAAAATACACACAACATTGGCCAGTAATGTACACAGTAGAGTAGTTAACACAAAGTAAAATAATTTGTTGGCACAATCTGTGTCCTTACTTTGTGTAGAAGCCCCGGTTGCAGGGCAGACACTGCTGCTGTCCTGCTAGTGGCTGATAGAAACCTGTGGTGCATGGCAGACATGCTCCAGGAAATAGACACAGCCCAGGGTCAGAGCAGCAAGCACACAGCAAGGTGTCTGGGGAGGGACAGAGACACATTTCTTATCTTTTACTTTACTTTTTACAGTTTTTTTTGCTGCAGTAAGACATCTTAAAATTGAGGCTTCCAGTCAGATAACATGGCGCTGCTGACTCACTGTTGTCGTACTGAGATCCCGGTGCACAGGGCTCACAAGTCGAAGTGTTGAATGCAAAGCAGCCCGGGGTCGTGCTGCTGAGAATCACGGGAGTTACGGTCAGACTGGTCACATTCTCGATGAGAGTGGTGTTTGTCACAGCAGGGGTAAGTGTGGTCTGGCTCAACACCATGCCTGGAAGAGAAGCACACTGAATGTTTCAAATCGTCTTCCTGTAGTGGGCTGATACAGGGCTGTAATGCAAACTCCACTATTAAATTTTTCTACAATTGTTAATGAATACAAATATTGATAATTGGGGTAGTACTGGTAGTCATTGTAGAGTTTAAGGGCCTAATCATGAACTGCAACGTCCCTGATTTGAATCCAGCTTTGGACCTTTGTTGCATGTTGTTCCCGATCTCTCTCGTCATTTTGTTTCATCCCTTTACTGTTAGCTGTCTGACAAAGGCATAAAATGCTCCAAAAAATTGAAAAAGCTATGTAATAAATAAAATAAAAGGATTTGACCTGCAGCTGACCAAAGATAATGCAAATCTCTCTGGTTTTTGGAGTATGTTGTCTAATCCTTTGCGTTTGATACAGTTTACTCCACTCATACAATTAAATATGTTCTCAATAGTTATGGCTTAAAAAAAAGGGGGGGGGGGGGGGTAACTCTGATCTCTCCCCCTCTAATCTCTGCCTGCTTCACTGGTTCACACAGTCTCTATTTTTTGTTGTTTCTGCTCACTATTTCACACATAAAAATACATATCACCAAAGTAAAATCTTCTTCTTCTTCTTCTAGTGGTAAATAGTTGATCAAAGTACATTCACTGTAGATCAGTCTCCCTCCTTCTCAAACATGCGCTGAACATGGATCCAAACCGAGCACAACCAAGATATGAAAAACAAAAAGTGTTGCAGGTGGTTCTCCTCATATAAAAGTCTTCTCACGATGTCATTGTGATGTCTTAAATCACTGAGAAAGTGAGGACAACAGGTATAAGAGCATCAGCGAAACAGATCCCATATTGTAGTAGTAATCACATTAGCCATGTGCTTAAGTGCTGCCTTGAATACAAGCCATCCTTCTCATGAAATGCAATTATTCAGAAAGGGGGTCATGTGATATCGCTGGCTTTCTGGGTTGGCAACATTTCTTCCTCAAACGTTTTGGACACATACTTCTGTTGAACTGGCAGAAAGAAATGCTGTAATCCTGAATGTTTGGCAGGATCAGATTCTTATGTCAGCAAAATGATGACGTCCCTACAGAGAGATTCTAGTAATACGGCGAGATACCATAAGATCAGTATAATTTCCACCATTAAAACACAGTAAACTAGTACATTCACTCCATTGCCATTTTTCACGAGAAAAAAGTTTGTTATGAAGTTTGGGTGCAAAAAAAAGTACGATTTTAATGATACATCTTTCCAAATAATGAACTTATATTGTAGAAAGTATATGTGTCATACTTTTCACATTTAGTTTTTGTCATTACATGCCTTTTTGTTCCATGTATAGTGCATTATACTTTATTTAATCCACAACAAAATTCTATAATAAGTTTAACAATGAGCTATAATCACATTTCATGTTTTAAGTGGCGAGATAACGCTGTGGTATTTATTATATCTCAATAATCTCTCTATAATGGACCTTTGCAGTATGACAGCAGCTATTGTCGAAGAAGAGTACAACTTACCCATGAAACAAGCGGCGCATATTGCAGGAAGAACTCCCCGGCAGTCCATCCTCCAAATATTATCGAGTACTACCACCAAACAATGTCAGGCTACAGCATCTCATCCCGGACAAGTGCTTTCACAGAGGACGACTGTGACGCTCGCTCGCAGAGGGATCAGTCCTCGCATCAGTGTGTCATATGACAAAATACACATCATGTGATTTTGCTTTACAGGGAAAAGCTGAGGAAAATGGCCCGATTCAGACAGATGTCTTGTTGTTACACGGAACAGCCAGCAGGGGCGACGCTGCCTCTTGTGTGGTTAAAATCACATGTTTATAGGCTACAGTGTAATATATGCCAATGACTCAAATCTATTAGTAAACCTTTACATAGAGAATTATTCCTGTTTATTCTAAACAAGTAGATAGATAGACAGTATACTATAATTAACAAATCATTATCAATTTGAAATCATATTTGTTGATACATTAATTAATAATTAAGATTTTATTATTATGAAAAAATATTTTCCCGTACATTTCTATAGTCCTCATGTAAGTAAAATTATTTTTAATATACAAATACATGTAGTAATGCGTGAATATTTAGATACAAATAATATTGCATTGTAAAAAAATACAACTTAAAAAGGTTTGCTGTCATATGTGCTATACTTGCTATAGTTCTGCTTTTCAATGGGGATGACATTTGTGCATAGTCTTGATGATGAGTAATCATGAGTGATATTTTGTACAGTAACTTGTTACCATAATATACACGCAACAAAAATAACACCAACGTTTTTTTTGGGAAGGGAAATTTTCTTCATACGTCATAAGTTGAAGGTCCACTTCCCTTTTCATGCCACAGGTGGGTGGAACGCACTTTGGGAACACATTTGTGACATGTATCGGACATAAAAAACACAACTTAACACTTACGTATTACAATTCAAGATAAACAATACAGTATAATCTCTCACAGGAAATCCACAAGACATTATAATAATAATTGTGGAAATAAATCATGTTTCACTCAAACAGTTTTACAGCAATTTAATGCACAATGTGTCAAATGAAGTGACAAAAGATAAAATGCTTTTCATTCTCATTTCTTGCAACAAATATAACTAATGATCCTTCTGATCTAAAGTGAATCATTCACAGATTTGTGGAGCATGTTGTGCATATTTATGTCTTGAATGTTTTTGTCTGAGGAACAACATAAGGAGCGTCCTTCTGGAGGTGACTCTCTAAGCTCAGCTCCAATTCCTCCCAGCTTTTCACTGGCAGGCTTTTCTGGCAGTAAAAGAAAGAGAGAGAGACCATTTTTTACTGCTCCAAGCAAGAAAAATGCCAACACTAACAAAACCAGACAATGCTTACAACTTGCTCACTGAGAGAAGTTCCTCTTTGGTTTGGATTTCATACTCACTTTGGTGTGTGTCCCTGTCTGTGCTGCTTCCTGTTCAGAGGGCTTCTTGCTTTTAGTTTGCTTCAGTCTTTGGCGCTCTAGTTTTTTCTCTTCAAGCTTCTTCTGCAGAGCCAACACTGTCTCATCCTGAATCATCGCCGGCCTGGCTTTCCTCTCCTCTTTCCTGCAACATGCCAAAACTATCATGAATATGTTTCAGCCCCATGTTTTTCCACCTGACCATAATTAAGTCAGAGCCAAACATTTTCCTGACCTGATGGCAGCAGCCTGTACCAGCGCTCTTGTGTGGAGGTTGATTGTGTCCAGCTTATCCAGCAGCAGCTGCTTCTTGTTCAGCTTCTCCTCCAGGATGTGCTCCCGTCTCTCTTGCTGCTCTGTTTGCTGCGCCTCCCTCAGGAGGGCCAGACGCTCCTTCATCTCCACCAGGGACATCTCTCCCATCAGCTCATGGCCTGCAGACTGACATGGGACAGCAGATTCCCCATGACTCAAGAGGTAAGGGAACGTTCTTCTCAAATGTTAGATGGTTTCCGTGCTTTCCTTCACTCACCTCTGTGTTGTCAAAATTCCTGACTCTAAAACGAGGAAGAGATTCGATGGCGTGGATTTCACGGATCACTTCAAATTTTCTGCAGAGCTCTGCTTGTGCCTCCTCCAGTGCTTGACGAAGTAGCTCTCGTCTTTGCTCTGCGACTTCTTTCACTGTGGAATTTGCGTGAGATTGGTGAGAATGAAAAGGAAAAAGTGATGTCTCACTGTATCACATGTGATATCAAAGAGGCGGAGGGCCTACCTATACTCCGCTTGAATTTCTGTAACTTCTCTTTAGCTGTCTTTGAGTTCTTGTGTCCTTCTGACACTTGTTGCACCAAGTCTCTCATTTCTTTTTCCTCCTGCAGCCTTTTCTCAGCATATCTCCGCATCAGCTGAGCTGTCTAAAAGAAAAGAAAACAACCATAAAAAAAACACTTTAATCATGCATTATTGTAAATCCCTTTAAAATGACATCTTAAAGGGTGTTTTTAGAGAACAGGTGGGCCGTCTCATCACACACTTTAAAGTACTGTGTAATCTCCTGTGCTGGTTCTTATTAGTTGTCGAGGGATGTTTACCCACCTCTTCCTTCTTCAGCTGAGCAGTCTTCTGGTTGCGTTCCATTAGGCGTGTACGGGCCATAGCTGCTTCCTCATAGCTGATGCGTCCCTCCAGACGCCTGCGCTCAATCATGGCCAGCTCCTCCTGAAGGTCCTTCTCACGCATCTCCTTCTGCGCCTGGAGGAAAGACGAGGGCTCACGTGCCCCCTCCACCAGCCGCTCCATTCTGTGTCACGAATACAAGTGCAGAAAATGACTTAATTTATTTGAGGAGATCAAAGATCCTCTTGGCAGGACAGACCTGAGAACATATCACAAATGCACTACGTCACAAGACAATTCAGTCACACAGACATCACAGACAAGTATTATCAAAACTCTCAAAATAGGCAAAGTACAATTTTAATGTTGCTCAGATTCAAATTGTTTTGACAGTTCATTCTAGTACTGCCTTAGGCAGGATACTGATTATGTGCAGATGAATAATCCCACTAAAATATATTAAGCATTGGCAGGTAAATATTGTACCTTTGCAGCTCCTCCTCCACCTGACGGTCAAATAGCGCCCCCTGCCTCAAAATGGCTGCGTTGTTGAGCTTGCTGGGCTACAATAAGCACATGTTAGTGGATATTACGCCTACATGAGTTGATATCCATCACCATCATTCTGATGCACTGAAGCAGGTGAAATAATAAGATCTCACCTTATTACTGGAGGGTGGTGCTCCAGAGGAATGACGTGAATTGAACTTAAGTTTTGAATCCAAGTCCTTCTTAATCTGAGACATCACTCTCTGCAAGACAAATGAAGGTTCTTTAGAAGTGTGAACCGACTTTGAAATGTCTGCTGACTCACTCAATAGTAAATGTTTCTCCTTCCGTCTCTATATAAGTAAGCTCGGTCATGAATCAATAACGTTGCCTTGGAAATCCATGTGAAACACAGACAATAGCCCCTACCTGGGTGTGTTCAGACTTATGTGGATTTGCACATCTCAACTGTTTCATATTTGCCTCATAGAGCAGTTCCTTTAGTGAAAAACAAGAAGAATATCATTACAGAGGCATGTAAAGAATACGTATTCATTGTGATACTATGATAGCACTCGTATATGCCACATTGACAGAATTTAATTCCAAAAAAAGATAATTTAGAAAACATTTTTTTTTTGTGTTTTGAATGTGCTGTAATGCAATTTGTGTCTGTTCTGTTTAATTGTTGCTCATGTCAGTTGTCTTTCTGTCAAACTTGTTTTCTTTTGTATTACGTTTATGCGACGGACCATATTTTTTCCTTTTAGATGTCATGAGCCTCGTACTGATGATAATGTTAAAAGCAGATATTTTACCACAGTCTGTTGATGGTTCTTTTGTTTGATTTCCTTCATCACCTGCATCTCTTTTGGAGCCTTGTATGTGCTTTTTGGCACCTGTGAAACAAAAGCCTTTTGAGTCCATCGCAGCCTCAACACACACATATATATATATATATATATATATATATATATATATATATACAGCTTAATGTCTTGTTTATAGTCTATGTAAGACAGTACACACAACAAGTAACAGTGTGTGGCAATGTTTGAAGAAAATATTGTATATAACTGTAGATGAGACTTACTGGTTTAGATTTTTCCTGCTGTGGAATGAGCTCAGGCACAGGCAGAGGTGGAGGTTTAGGTTTGGTGAGAGAGAACTCCTGGGGCTCAGTGGTTTTGATTGGGGATTTCTTGACCTGATTCCTGTGAGATATTTTGACAACAAGCTGGTCCAAGAGAATATCCATCTCAGGGCGCCATCTAATGGACAATGATATGCACTCAGTCTTTGCCTTTGTAAAAACATTGGTTCTTTGTCTTTTTTTTTACCTTAGCAAAGGGTAAATCCAGCGTTCCTCCACATAGGCAGCATCATAGATACTATTCCACTCCTCTTGTATCCACGTGGTGAGATTTGTGAAGAAGAAAGTCAGGAACTACAGCCAAACACAATGCACACTTACACGAGGCCACCTCAATGGAGCTATTGATTGCTGGTTATTTCCAATGCAACTACACACTGCTGTTTGAGAGTTTCTTACTGTGTGCATCTTCTGGACGTCCAGAGATTTGATAATGTGGCTAAAACACTGAAGTCCAAGGTCATCGAGAGAAAAGGTGGCGATGTAACAGATAACTGAAGAACAGCATATTCAATCTATATCAATGCATGTCAGTGGCAAACTTGGATTATAATTTAGAAAATTTAGTTCAATGACTTACTGACAAACTGGCTGCGGTCACCTCTGGATAAGCATCTCCCCTTCTGGCCATAGAAGACATTGATAACCACGTCCAGTAACTTTTTGTGCTCAATGCATCCGGAGACGACATCAAGTATGAACGTCTTCTGCAGAGCATCCATGATCTGTGACACACAGCCTGATGAATGAGACGTTCAGGTGTCAGCACAAGCAGCACTGATCTGACTCTATAACCCTACCTGCAGATCCTTTGAAGCATCTTCCATGAAGTCATCCAAACACTGCCTGCCAGCGCTGAACTTATCGAGCAGCACAATGGCCTCTTTGGCAAGTGATCCATAGCCCGATGCCATTTGGTATCGATCTGCAGAAAGCTAGTGGAGATTGATAACTGTGGTGAAAGGTCTTTGCTTGCAGAAAAGCCTGAAGAAATACAGCAGGCCAACAGAATGTGTAAAAAGTAACATTTGACTTCTAACGCTACCTGAGTCACAACTAAATGCGTGCTGTTTTAAAGAAAGTGCAACGCTTGTTTTCAGCGCAAACCGTTGCCATGTTTAGTCGTTGCTTAGCAACACACTATCGTAAACAGAAATGTATCCCAGCTGGTTAAATGAGGAGAGCCTTATAACAGGGAGCGTCGAAATACATCTGAATTTATAACAGATGTTTTTTAATGTGTTTTTATCATTAGGCTGTTTTTTGTTCAACATGTAATAAAAGCGTCAAGGCTTTAATCCAACGTGTGCAGATTAACAGTGTGGCAGTCTGATCCTTTGTTGGCTGCCATAACAATAATTATGACGTTGCATAGTGTGACGTCTGGGCGAGCCGTGCGCTGCCTTCACGGACTGTTGGAAATGTTGTGAATGAGCACATTGACGTGAGGTAGGAAAGAGGGAATGCATGCTGGTAATTATAACCAGATTAACGGCTATGTGTATTTGTAACAAGAAACTGTTGTAGGGAAAAGTGAGTAACTTCACACCAGAGTTTGAGGGGTTAGTGTGGGGGGGGGGGGGGGGGGGGGGGGGAAGAAAAAAAAAAAAGAGGGGCTGATTACTGAACAAATCACATGCAAACTGGGGGTTTTAGTCTCACAAGGCTTCATCTGATTTCCTGCCATAATCTGATTAACATAAACTCATTTGTTGTGGACATGTAAACAAAATCAATGGATTGTCATTCTATGGTCACAAATTTACATTTCAAATGTATACTTTCAACAGACTAAATATGTTTAGTCCTATCTGTCTTAAAAGTGAATGTTCAATCAAAGATTGAGTTGTGAGAATGAACGGCCAAGCTCAAGTCTTAAGACATGACGGATGAGAATTATTGGTTTACTTTTTCGTTGCAACTGAGCAAACTTAGCTGTGAACTCTCTGTGGATGGAGACTGTGTGCTACAATTTAACATTCAAAAGCCATTGAGTGGACCTTGAGCTGGGATTGTTTTGCCACCTCCTGTTGCCCTGGTCAAGAATGAGTTGCCCAACACAATTTACATTTCTGTTGCAAAGTAACCTTGAGTGAATTTAAATCCCCCTCTGCTCAAAAACCTGATTGTCACATTACTTGCGGGCAGAATGATGTAGAGTTTGACATTAGACTGTTTTCTCCTTCATCTGCTGAAGAGGGAAGGTTTCTTTGTGCTGACCTCAAATCTGAATTTAAAACGTGTTCAGAAAAGCATGATTTAAGAGTCACAACTGTTTTGGAAACCAATCATGGTCCAATAACTCGCACATGTTTGACGTGGTAACCTGAAACATCCACCACACAAATACACAGAATAGACTTTTCAGTGATGTAGAAGATATTTTTCTCTCCAGGAGTCAACATTTAGAAATTGAAAGAGAAGGAGTAGGCCTATATGTAATTTTAGGATTTAGGATTTTTTTTAACTGGGTAATTCAGCGTTTTTGTGGAAAACCCATAACAGACACACACATTATTGAAAGTCTAGTATTTATTTTAGAAATAAACATGGCTGGAGGGGATGTTTACCAAACATAAATAACCAGTCACACCGCATAGGCCTCATGCTTATGGTCTAATTTTGTAGGTTTTGTATCATATTTCCGACCAATAGAGGCACCAAAAGCTCGGTATTTGTAAGCAGCACGTGAAGGCATCGCTTCCTGTGAAAGTGGGAGGTGGATGTTGTCAACGTGACTGTCATCAAGCAGCGGTAGAGGGGCAGAGAGCAGAGTCGGATCTCCGCTCGTCTGGATCGGTGGGACGTGGAAAGTGGGGGGACAGGCAGCCAACCTCGGGGTTCAGCGAAGATGGAAATAAGTCGCTGTTGTCGAATATCTTCGCTGTGCGCGTTCAGAGCCGTGTTGTAACGTTCAGGGCAACTTAACCACACATTGTGTTTGGCACATTTTGGCGTGTTTTGGAGCCCACCAGCGATACGAGCTAGCTTTAGCAGCCCACCGCTGAGACTGTCAGGCACACAGGTACGGGAGAGGAGAGGAGGGGTCGGTGACAAAGGAAGGTGGCGAGGTAACGATGAACCGCTTTCGGAAGTGGCTGTACAAGCCCAAGGTAAGTTGTGTGTGTCAGCTCTGCAGCCGGTCATTTCTTATGCATAGCTTTGAGGATAGCTAGCAGACCAGCCGACCAGTGAGGCTTTCTCATCTGCTAACGTTAGCCTGTGTTCCTAATGTTACACTGTGTTAACCAGCAGCTGTCCCTTTGTTGTTGTTGTTGTTGTTGATGCTTTTGTTTTCAAGCGACGAACAATGTTACAGCCTGACAATGCAAACTGAATTAAACTGACTGACTTACTGCTGCCTTCAGCTGGCATTGTCATTGATGTGAGGTGTTGTATTTTAGTGATTTTCTTTGTAAAACTATAATATTAATGATATAATAGCAGCGACATCAGCAACAATAATGATACAATGTTAATAATAATGTCATTACAAAATAAGAAGTTAATAAAATGTGAAATATCTTAAGTACATATTAATTAAATATAATAAGAATTAAAAGTAAATACATTTTATGGCTGTAAGTAATTATAATGTTCATTATCAATTTGTCTGAAGGTTATTCTGTCAATTAACTGATTGATTATATGGTGTATAACATGTCAGAAAATAGTTATTGCTTGTATTGTCTTAATTTACTTTCACACAATACAAAGAAAATCAGAAAAAACTCACAACTGAGAGGCTGGAACTTGGTAAAATGTTTTTCATTCAAGCTTGAAAAATGACTAAAATGATTAATTGATTGTCAAAATAGTTATTTTTTCCCCCAAATGTTTATTTTAATGTCTTAATTGTTTCATCTATGGGTTTGTTGATTGCAGAAAACATCCCAAACTGGATCAATTAAAAGCTAAACATATCGAATCTACTGCTGCTCAGGCCCAGCACATAATCATCTCTGTTGGGCTGATCTAATGGATGCGCTTCTTTGAATCAAGCTCAAAGTGTGGAAACATGCCTGAGACAGCAGAAAAAGTATTGAAGGCTTGACCGCCTTGTTAAATGAACAGTTTAAATATATGCCAACTGCAACACTTTTTTTTTTAGTTAGAGTGAATGCAAATATTTCTCCAGGGAGGGAACTCTTGTTAACTTTTAGGTTTTAGGAGGAGACATTACAAAGCACCCTACTTAATGCGATAACTGGCATGCACGCTAAACTGCATGAATCTGAAGAAAGTAATCATTGATCAGTTTATAATTTCTTTTGTGCTGTATCATCATAAACATTGAGAGTCAGAGTTGAGTAACAACAGATAGTCACAGATGCTGTTTCAAAATTGGATTGAGAAACACTTCTAGAGAATCGTGAGCTCTGGATGTTGTAATGTTTAACATGGGTTCACATTCTGTATCATCACCTGGACCAAATGACTCATATTCTCTTATTGGAAGTTTTTTTTTTTAACATTTGCTGGAAAGACTGAGCAAATACTTGTACTTGCACTGCACAGTATTCTAATGCAGCCTCTTCTGGAGGATGGGGACATACGGTTGTTATTATCAACTGCACAGCATTTATATAAAAAAACATTATAGATCCAAAAAAATAGATTTCCTTAAACCTTTTGTACTAATATATCCAATATATCCTTGCTCTGGACATATCCAAGTCCAGAGCAAGTCATCGGGCCTGAATAACACTGTAGTGTGTTTATTGTTTGGCATTCTTTCAGTATATTGGCATAAGAGCTGCACATGAACCGTTGATCTTGCATCATAACGGCCATTTCTATTGATAGAAATGGAGGAAAGTACACTGCAGACAGCCTCTTAAACAAGTTGGTGACTGTCGCGCATCGTTGTGTTTCTTGGCATAGAATATCAGATGTTTGCTTAAAAGGTTTGTCAACATGTATTTCTGATCGGCAGTACAAACTGATAAGTCGCTCTCTCTGTTAATAGAAGACAACTGCGTTTCCATATCAAACAACAGCAGTAATTACGAGTTTTTGCGACAGCGGTGTCAGACGGGGTTACAATAAAATGCCTGTGATTATAGATTGTCCGCCTGCTCTTTACCACATACACGCACCTGCGTCACTCTTCTTTTCTCTGTTTAACCATTTTGCTGTCACAGCATTTTGGCGGCCCATTGTTAGGGTCAGGCCTAAGTGTTGGGATTCACCAGAGCATTGTCACGTTCATGAATGACTAGTGACTCTGAAGTGCTGAGCTATTGCATCAGTGCCCCTTTTTTGCCAAATCACAGCCATGGTAGGAATTAACAGAATCACACATAAGTCTGTGGGTTTAAATGATCAGTTCTGCCTCAAAGGAATGAGGAGAAAAGTGATACAAGCCTCTGTGAGGAAAGGAGTGAGGAAAGGAGGGCTCTGATCACAGCAACCAAGCTAGCATATATTTCAGTGGTAGTTAAAATAAATCATAATCTGGCATTGATAGTTGAACACCGCATAGCATTGTCATTTTGCATCTACAGTAAGCCGTTTATTATTGAGCTAATGTTCTCCTGGAGACAGAAAAGTGTTGAATCAGCATGTTCCCTTGACTGAAGCGGCGCAATTGATATTTCCAGAACTGCTCTTTACTTCCCCAGATAAGTCCCACCGAGGAGGACCTTGTTTTGCCCCTTCTACACAAGCCCTCCCCGGTGCGTCGGAGAGTATAGTATGCAAGCTAACCGGACATAATGTACCTGTCTGTTGACTCTGTCATCAAAGTGCCAACTTCTGGAAGAAAGATAGCGTAGGAATGGTTTGCACTGCTCATCTGTAAGGCGGTGGGGGATATTTTTCACAATCCTTCTCAGCCTTTAAACTGGTTTGTCTAGTTTTTGTGTGAACACCTAACCTTTATCTCCCAAACTATCAACAAAGGAGATTTTACTCATCGCTGTAGGTATTTTGTGTAATAAGTTGACCTTTGACTACATTCTGCAGGTAAACATTTTAGATAAGTCAATAGGCTTTGGAGAGGGTGAAATCAGGGGAGAGACACATTCATAAAATTCTGCTCCAGCACAAATCCCTGCAGTCCCCCCCCAAAAAAAAAGGCGAGACCTGGCTCAGGTTTCTGCGCAGCCAAAATGGCCACCGTGTCCTCACCTCTCACTCGGGAAACTTGCAGAGTGAGAGGTGGCGTGAGAGAGAGAGAGAGAGAGAGAGAGAGATGTCAGGAGGGTAAACCTGTACACCACCTCTGTGTGCTCCTCTCTTGGTTGTTATTCCATCAGGCATTCAGGAGCTGACCTTCAGCTCCACTCCACCTCATCTGTCAGGGTGACAGGCTCACAGCTTGCACCAGGCTGGGTGCTCTCACCCCCATCTACAGGATGCTGCTAATTTGCCTTTCATTCCCCCCCTCACCGGCCAGTTTAGAGCGTGGGTAGCTGATGCTTTCTGCACTCCTCCTTAGTGAAAATGTCAAACAGATACCGGCTTGTAACAATGTAGGCTGTTAGCAAGTGTAGGAACCTGTGTAATGCAAAAACGCCTGATTACTTTCATAAGGTCACCCTACATCTGACCGGTCACTGATTCTTACAAACTGATTCTTTTCAGAGGAATATAATTAAATCATGGTCGTCTTAACAGAGTAAACCTAAAGAAAAGTTCTCAGTTTACAAGTATAAGCTAGTTTTTCAGTGTAACTTACTAATTGTACTTTTTTATTTCTTCAAATTCCATTTATTTATGTCATTTTATGTCAACAGTGTTATTTAATAATATTTTAGTGTAGCACAAACGTGTCTCCTCAAAAGCTAAATGTATGTGCCTTACCTTCTTATGCAGTACGTCCTCATAGATCTGAATGATGGATTGTGTTGTAACGTGCTCCTTATGCAGCTTTATCTGTAGTGTGTATATATTAAAATAAAAGACATTTTGGCTTGCAAAACATCAAACTACAGTTAGCAAGGACTTCTGTTGGAAGTCCTTATGATTGCACTGCATCTGAAGGTAAGTTGTATATCAGGGAAAAGATGATATCTAGATACATTAAATCCATACTGGTAGTGGACACAGTAACACAGCCTGTACAATATAATGTAAGCCAACAGAGTATTACAGTACGACAAGTCTATTTTTAGTTTTTATTTGCCCTAACTAGGGCTATTTTCATTATCAAGAAATCTGTCAATTACTTTCTTGAATATTTAAGTAATCTAGTATTCTATAACATGTCAAAAATTGGACAGAAATGGTCATCACAATTCCCTAAAGCCAAAGTTTTCATATTCCAATGTCTTGTTTCCTCCAAGCAGTAGTCCAAAACCCAAATGTATTCAATTTGTTATCCTTTATAAGACTAAGAAAACCAGCAAATGTTTACATTTGGTAGCTAGAACCAATGAATTTTGGGATACGTGTTTAAAAATGACTAAAGTAAAAGTGATTTATCATTGTCAAGCCACCATAAAAGATGCTTTAGAGATTTTTGTCTTCACTGTCAGAAAGTGGACCCGACATGTTGACAGCTGATGGTTTCAACAAAGCAACTCATTTTTACTTATCATTCACCCCCATTTCCTTCTGTTGCCATCTGTGTGGGCCCTACTTAAGATGCACAGTTGGATTTTCATTTTGAGGGAAATGTTCATCTATGAAGAGGAGCTTCTAACACTTGGTCAAAACAGCAGTAATAGCTATGTGTGTCTGATTTTAAAAAAACAACAAAAAAAAAAAAACAACTAGAATATGTGGGGAAGGCGAGGCAGGGTCATTAGAGTTATTGATGACCACGAGCTCTCCTATTTGTAATGCTTTTTAATAATCTGGGACTGCTATTGAAAACCCAAGACATATTTTCAGGTACATATTGTCTTTAAATTGTTTCCCCCCTGAACTTAGTTGATGATCATTTTAAAATATATTTGCAATTTTTTTTTTTCCACAGTGTTTGTAATCGTGAAACAGAAACAAAAACATCATTAGATAATCATATGGTTTGTACAATGGGCCTCAGACCTAGACCTGAGACAATTGGACTGCATACATGTTTCATAATCTGGTGATCGTTTCAGTTGGTAAATTGACCGAAAAGGCCCAATACTACAGTTTCCTAAGTGTGAGGATGTTTTTTTGA